AGGCAGAATAGATACTGAATGAAAGCTACTTCTTAATAGGATGCCAGACATTAGCTTAGATTATGTGAAAGTTGTGAGCTTCATGTTAATTCTACCTAGAATTTTGAACTGTTATTATGAAGTGATGGATAATGGATAATAAAGAACTATCCAGTCTCCATTCTACCTTTGTACTGGACCCATGTATTTATTAAGCTCAAATAAGCTGTAAAACAAACTTTATCACTTTTTCTGAAAGTGTTTTAAGAAATAATATTACAGTGATGTTTATATGTGGAAGTGTATACTTTGCTTTTTTTAAACCATTGAAATAGCGTTGATTTCCTTAAATATATATATTAATCATATATTATCAAGGTATGAAATCTTTTTTTCTTTTATAGTTAAAAAAGGAAGGTTGGATAAAGCAGCAGGTAAGTCTGAATTCCCTTTTAATTTCTGCTGTAATTTTATTTCATATACTTCATAGTAAACTAAGTGACTGTCATGCATCTCAACAGGAGTTCAGCACAAAACAAATGAGGAAATAAAAGTATGTTAAAGATAAAAATAAAAAAAAAATTAGGGACTCTTGCAATTTCTTATTCTAAGTTGCTAATTACTGTCTCTCAATCAAGTTAAGATATTTCCATTTTAAAAAGTAATTTTACTCAATTTGACCTAAACTCCTCATGAGTCAAGAGAAGCTATTTAACTTCACTTTCTTTTCTCACACAACATTGACCAAAGGCTCCCATTTTTGACTGAGAATTGCAGTAATAGACTTGTGGAAGCAAAGTTGGCTGTCTTTGAACAAAATCTGTGACTGCTTTCTACTACCAGAGTAGCTGAGTAACAACAGTCTGTTTTTTTTTTTCAGTTATTCTTGAAGTAGAATGCACTATCTGCTCCAATGCGGAAGATGGCTTTTATATTTTGTTACTGAATATAACCCATGACATCCAAAGATGACTAATTAGTGATAAAGCACTGAAAGACAGTGTCTATATCCAGGGAAAAGCTAGAGAGGCCAAGGAGCTCTTGGAGAAATAGCAGTTCTAAAGGGCAGGTGACAAATTTTCAAGCAAGAAAAAATGATAATGCAAGCAGACAGATATTTTTAGTTTTTATGCTAGAAAATGAGCTAGGAAAGATGGAAAGTAATCAGGATTTATAACCATTTTCAGTAGTAATCTGGTTCATTGCTCTACCTTCTCTGTTGTTTTCTTCAAAGGAGATTATTTTGGGTGAGATTGCTGTGGAGTTGTTTCTTTTTAAGTTTAGAAATGGGTATAGGTGCTCAAAGATGTTGGATCAAATGTTTCAGGTTATTTTTTAGCAAAATGATTTAATGGGGATTTATTTTGAAAATTTCTCACAACTTAAGCTGCCATATTCCAAACCATATTTTCATTCTGCAGCTACAAAAGATTTGCAAATTTCACCTTTTGCCTAATTTTAAATGGAGTAATAGGATAGCATGGGAATCATGCATTGTTGACACCATTTTTCAAAAAGAAGCTACTGTTCTTCTACATCTATATTGACTTTGTCAACAGTGCATTTAAAGTAAGAATAAAAGATGTTTGAGAACACTGGTGTACTGCATTACAGAAAATGTTGACTGCTGTTGGTTTTCTTTGGGGGAAAAAAAATCATTACTTAACACCTTTTAGTCCTTTTGTCAAATATTATCAGTCCTAATTAATAAGGTGTACCTAGAGGATAAGCAGACAGAGGCAAAGAGCTGACTCTTCTCCTTCATGCATTTTAGTCATTGCGATGTAATTTAAGACAACCTATTCAAGAGACCATTGTAGATGGAAACAGCTTCCCTCTTGCTTGGTGGCTGATTGACCTGTGTTAATACAGGCAGCTCAAAAATAACTTGTTTCTTGAAAACATCTAATGTATATGTTGACTGTAGGTTTTTTTAAATTGCTGGTGTTTATCCACACGTAGAATATTGGAGGCTAATAATGCTTGTTCCATGCATACAGGCTGAAAAGATTTTCTGAACAGCTCGGCTCCATAAATCAAGACAACATAATATGCCCTTTTACACCTTAGATTCCTGTGTGATGCCTTGTTGTGGGTTTGCCTGGAGTAGAGTTAGCTTTCTTCACAGAGCTTTGCGTGGTGCTGTGTTCTGGAATTTTTGATTTGAAATAGTGGTGATAACAAAATGATGATTCAGCTTTTGCAGAGCAGTGCTTACAGAGTATTTAGAGTGTTTCTACTTCTCATGCCACACTGCTGTTGAGGAGGCTGGAGTGTGCACGAGAGGTTGAGGGAATATAACCAAAAATTCATCCAAAGGGGTATTCCATATCTTACAATGTCATGTTCCTCAATAAAAGCTGAGGTAAAGGAGGAGGAAAAGGAGGATGTCTGGAGTGATGGCATTTTGGCTTGAAAAGAAACTTATCAGTCATGAACCCTGCTTTCCTGGAGGTGGCTAAACAGCTGTGTGCAGACAGGAAGAAGTATAGAATTCTGTGTTTTGCTTTCCTTGCATGCACAACTTTTGCTTGACCTAGTAAACTGTCTTTAATCTCAACTTAGCTTTCTCACTATTACCTTTCTGATTCTTTTCCCTGTCCCACTATGGGGAGGAGTGAGAAAGTAGCTGTGTTGTACTCATCTTCCTACTGGAGTAGGGTAGCAAAAGGCCCAGAATGGCAGAGTAGTTCTGCATTTCTTTCAGGGATAGTTTAAAAAAAAATTGTTTTATCTGTCAGCTATTTAGGTCCTTTTTTATTATTATTTTAGATAAGTGTTTGAGTTTCTATGGGACAATATCTGAATCATATTTAGCTACAGACAGAACTAGATTACCACATGAAGACATGACAGAACTGCATCATGACAAGTTTTTGGTCGAGCCTTACTTGAATATGAATGTCAAATAGTCAATCACTAATATTATTGTATCACTTGAAAGTTGAAGAAAACTTGTGAAGAGCACATACTGGTTTCATACAAAATCTGTCAGGAGAATTGATAAATAATCTGGGAAGTCATGTCTGGAATCTGATCCCTAAAATAATTGCTTGCATCTAGGACTACATTATTTCCTACCCGTAATGGGATTTTCCTCTTATAATATCATTATAAGGATTTCCTTGTTCAAGTCCACATGTTTGAAAGCAATCACTGAATGTGTTCTATGGAGAAAGAGTAAAATCTTCAAACCTTCAAATTGAATGCTTCTGGCTTCTAGAGTAAAAGAATAAAAACAACTTAGGTCTGCAACTAAATGTTCTTGTTCTTTTATAGAGGCATTTGACACCTACGTTGTTTTGAAAGTTCAAAATCTGAAAGGCACTACAATAGAAAGAAGGGGAAGTGAACCTTGCTGGGAGCAGGACTTTATGTTGTAAGTTTCAGGTGATCCTTATCAACTGACTGTTGCATCTTTGGTGTTTTTTGTTTGAGCGATTGATATTGTGTGGGACAGCTTACAGTCTGTGAAAGCAAAGGAAAAATTACTCTAGCAGAATACGGTTACTAACAGCTGGAAGTTGTGCCACATTTTTTTTCAAACATCAATTTGAAAAAAAGCAGTTGGTAACAATGACACTTCAAATGGCTCTTCCAGTCTTATGCCTGCTATTTTGTGTTCTGGGTATACTGAATATGAACCTCCTCTGAATGTGCTGTAAGACACTAACTTAAGGTACTGTGATAAAGAGCCACCATTTTCAGTTTAACAGTTTATGTATTCACTGTTTTTAGTGAAATTGGTGCTGGTGAAAAAGGCTTCACTGTAGAACTGTGGAAGAAAGGTTTGCTCTGGGATAGCATGTTAGGAGTTCTATGGATTCCTCTTTCATCTGTGGAGCACGCAACAGACGTAAGTTGACTTTCTGTGAAAATACAAAACAGTAAAATCCAATGATTTCATGTTTTTTTTAGACTCAGACCAGTGTAATGGCATAATTGATGTAAAGGTATAGTCTCTGCTTACTTCAGTCTCTAATATTGAGAGTAGAGAGCAAATGTGACTCAGTAACAGCTGATATCCATTAGCTGTTCATACCCTGGAGAACAGGCTCTCTTACTGAGTTAGGTGTAATTCAGTCAGTGGGTTAGAGTTCATTTGTACTCTAATTATTAGGCAGGAACGTTTTGGATTGTGTGATTTGAGCAAGGGAATTTCAAATTACTGTTCCTGGCCTGACTTTTCACTGTGTGACCTTGAATAAGAATCTGTTAAAATGGCCAGAAAAACCCTTTTTTGCTGTCCCATGGGAATAGAATGCTGTGTCATAGACGGGAACAGAAATTTGCTTTATGGTAATAAGGAAGGAAATATTATAATGAGGACATAAAGAAAGATGAGTGGAGAAAACGCATCAGTCCCAGAAGTTAAGTATCCAGCACAGTCACAATTAGCCACTGGAGTAAGCATGCTTGCTCTCAGGCTGGGAAATCAAGAAAAAAAGATTTCAAGGAGTAAGTAAATATTGAAGCAAACTGCAAGTGCTGTGAAATTGTCTGAAAGGAGTAAAAGTAAGAAGAGATGCCTTATTCTAATACTCCTCAATTCTCACATCCATACATCTCTTCTGTGTAGTCTGTGGGGTCTATTTTTTAAAAAGAAAGTAACCCTAAATTAGAGAACATTGATTAAGTTCGGCACCTGAGTTGCCCTTCACCTGTTCCTTGCACATAAAAATAATCTTGCCTAGTAATTGCTCTGTCCCTCAGTATAAGCTTTCTTTTTTTTCTTGTGAAGAGGTAAGTGATAAATTAAAGGAGAGTAAATCAGAAAAGCTTTCTAACAGCATCCCCGCATACATTTCCTCATCTCTCCATAAAAAATAACACCTATATGTATAATTAACTGACATTTTGATGATTCTACTTACAAAAATAAGGCCGGGGGGGGGGGGGGGGGG